ATGTTGTCCTTCCAGGATTCCAAGGCGTTCAATGGGAAAATGGCCTCTACCGAGATTGCTTTCGTACTCGGGGGCGTCCTGGTAGGATTGACGACCACTGTTTCAACTGTGGCGGGACCTCTGTTTTGGTCCATGGTAGATGCAACGTGGAGACCAAGGCTTGGTATGGCGTTCCGTAGACTCGCCATGATGCTCATCTGGTGCGGTCCACTCTCTGTAACTCTCCGTTAGCACATGGTGGTCATGAGATGCATTAGGTTTACATACCAGACAAGTTGCGCATAAAGACCTTTCTGAAGCTGAACAGCGATGGTGTCAAGCGCATCAGCGGAATCTTTGCCCTGGGGATCAAGACCGGGGTCATGGCTGTGTCTGGATCCGCCAGCTCAAATCCTGGTGACAAAGGTCCTATAGCGCAAAAATGTCCTGTTAGTAAGCATGGACTAGCTGCCTACATTCTGTCAAAGACGAACCTTGCCGCAGGAGAAGATTGCGGTAGCGGGATATGGCTTTCTTGACCTTCCTGGCATCGATGGGTCGACCATGGTAACTGAGTGAGCTTGGGTCTTGCCCAGGACCCATCTTGCTGTCCAGAGCCGTCCATGTTGCTTTCGAATGTTTCTTCCTCAAGTTCCAGAGATTGAAGCGGGCTTCGTATTGCGACTTTCTGTTGATGGCAAAGAGAACGTGATGAGTAGAGAACGAGGAACGGATCTTTCCAAATTTATGAAGCGTAGAGTGTAAGACTCACGTGGCAACAAAGCTGCGCTCCTCTGCCATGAATTTCTCGACTTTCTTCTGCGTCATCCGCTGGTCGCAGTACAGCTTGGTGATCTCTTCGCGATGAGACTCCCATTGAGCCTCAGAGATTGGCTGAGCGACGTGCGCCATGGAAGCGGTGGTGTCGACGTCCACAGACAACGATGGCGAGAGGGAGACCAGCTACAGTAGGTCAAGCTCTTAGTCTGTGGGTGTGGAAACTTTGAATGGGGAGAATGGAGAGAAACGGGAAGAAAGATGGGGTAGGAATGACTATTCGGAACGCTTGCTGATGAGAAACGGCGTCCAAGGTCTGATTTAAATATTCGCAATGCTCTACGCCCACACAGGTCAGAGTCGACCCCCGAAACAGCCTGGCTGCAGCTGCCTGGCCCCCTGCCTTCATGTATGTTGTGCTGTGCTGCATGGACAAGCAGGCTTGAGTCGTCATGATTGGTTGATCCAAATTCTGCTGGAGTTCGCCTCAGCCCCAGTCGCCAAATTCTCTCCACGCAGGACGTCTTCATTAGCACGGGCCGCTACGAAGACACCGCCGCCTTCCAAATTCCGACCGGGGTGGTATCCTCAAGCTATTGCGAGGCAGCACTGCATAGAAAAAGGCGAAGAACTAGTGGTAATACCTACAGCTCTTTTCAAGTGGGGTTGAAACTCGGAGATCATATTCTTATCGCGGCCTACATACAATAGGGCACAGAAGCACACGACGGCGAACAGAGCCTAGAGCCCCTGAGGACTTTCAACGCCCGGGTACCACTCCCGTCCAAAGCTGTGCGTGGGACCAGAATCAGCCTTTCGAGGCACTCTCTGTGCCGCAGCTGGATGCCCATTCAGGAGTGGTCCCAAAACTGCCCATGTCCTTTGTTTCCAGCCGAATTCCAATTTCTCTCTCTCCAACACAGACATTGCAGTCGATTTGCTCCCAAACACAATATCATCTGTTGCAAACACCGAACATACAACTTTCAATCCAACATCTGGGTGAGTGACTTATCCGCCTTTTCACAATGCCATCCCATCGCATCGGGACAGAGAAACGACGCCAGGCTCAGGCTGCAGCAACTCGGGCCGCAGCCACCGCTGAAGCAAATCGGAGAACGTGCAACCTACACAGAGCAGCAGCGGTAAGCCAAAATGACCTGCTCCAACAACAGGCCAACCGCCAGCCAGGCGAAGAAACAGCACGCAAACATGACATCCGACAAAGCCAGCTCACGATGCTAGCAAATGGCTGGTGCCCGCGACAGATCGACCACCTGTCGCACAAGCACGACGCCCAGACGCTCTCGTACCTCGCGACGCTCGAGCGGTCCAGCCTGCGAACAACCGCCGCCGGGGTAGACCACGCGCGATGCTCCAGCGATCTGCCCTGCACTGCGCACAACAGCTCAGATATGTCGCAATACCGTACGCGACACACAGAAAGAGGGCGTGAGTGCAGCATGGTTGAGATGCCGCGTGAGCAGCTCGCGAGGGTCTTGGAGAGCGGCGGGGTGCCACTCATCGCTATTGAGGGTAGCGATGGTGCTGATGGGGCCTGCAGGTTGACTGTCCACGCTCGGTCGATTGGGATCAAGTATGTCGCCATTAGTCATGTCTGGGCTGATGGACTCGGCAACCCGGGCGGAAATGCGCTGCCTCTTTGCCAGATCAGGAAGCTAAGGGGCATGCTTCGAGATCTAGGATCGCTTCTGAATGGCGATCAGGTAAGAACACTGCTTTATCCCGTGCCCGACAGAATATCTCATGCGGACTAGCCATACGAATAAGAATTGCAGCTCTTCTGGATGGACACCCTCTGCATCCCCGTTGCGGCGGAAGCCCTGTCCTGGAAGCTGGCGCAGATTGAAAGGATGTCGTCCATCTACAAGGGCGCTGTTTCCGGCCTCGTGCTGGATGCCGAGCTCATGGCAACACCCTTTCGATCCGAGAGGAGCGGAGATGGCAGCCGACGGGCCAAGGTCAGCGTGGAAGTATATGCCCGCATTTTGTGCAGCATCTGGATGACGAGAAGCTGGACGTATCAGGATGGACTGTTGCCCGAGTGCCTAGCGATACAGTTTTTTAACACCACCTACATGTTGGCGCCTGTGCCCGGAGAGCACGACGTGTGTGGGTTTCATGAGACGTGGCTAGACGGCCCTACGATCGAGACGAGGCCGCTTGTCCTAAGAAGTCCATCTCATCACGCCGGAGCCAAACAAGATCGCGATGCTACCAAGGCAGGCAGACGGAAGATAATCAGCACACACATCGACCCGGCGAGCTTCGAACCGCCGTTGCTCAGCGGACCATATGACTGTGTCGCCATCTCTCTTCGATGGTCTCTCATCGACACATTATTTCCCGACAATAGCGACCCAGTGGCATTCGCGGGGGCGTGGAACGAGCTCTCGGGTCGCTCTACAACCATGTCGGAAGATGTGCCTATCATCGTAACCAACGTCCTCGGTTTCGAAAGTGCGCTGCTAATACGCTACCATGACCCAGGCGAAATGTATCATACGATCCTCCTCAGCCTGGGTCAGGTCCCGATGTCACTGTTCCTCAACACCGGGTCTAGGCAAGTCGAGCTGATTAACAACAGATGGGTCCCCCGGGAAATTGGCTTGCACATGCCGCTATCAGAGGAGACAGCTACTGTTCACCCGGCGCATCTCTTGTACCTATATGAGGGCGCGGATCGACGGCAAAAGAGCAGAAGTACAGCATCCATACTTGTCGCGAGGTCATTGGCTTCAGATCGACTGCCTTTGTCCGCTGCATTGACGTCAAGACAGGAGAGAGCTCGATGTTCGCGGCGGAACCTGTGGATAGAGGTACCGATATACTGGACACCACTTCCTTCACCTCATCTTGGCTCCTGGTCGAGACATCCCAAGGCGTCACGCGTGGGGCACTTTTCCACGAGACAACACAAACGCAAAGGGACATTAATAGATCAGCACTGCGGCGGCAGACAGAAACAACGCCGCTCCTGGCACCGCTATCGCCATCAGATCTACCTTCATCATCGCGTGGGGACGCTATCACCCGAGCTGTACTTACGTTTAACTGCCCACTACGTCTGCGCCTGATCGGAAAAGACGAGGCTATCGATGTAGAGGGGAAATCAGCACACAAGATGCATCGACAAACGCCCTCTTGCGCGATACACATCAAACAAGGTAATTCTCCTTGTTTCCAACTTGCGAACTCCATACTGGCGGCGAGTGAGGAGTTCCTGGTCTTCCACACTTCCACGATTGCCAATGACGACTGACTAGCACCTCTCCAACAGATCTCCCTGATGGCTACACTCCACTCAGGAGGCTGACGCGGCCGGACTATACTCGGACAGTGAGCCTCCTACACTACGTAACATACCTACTAGTCCCACTTTCCTTGACCACGCTGCTGGCCGGCATCCTCAAAGCCTGCATGCTGCTCGCAGACACGGCTACCCGGGCAGTCCTAGAGATGCTGGTAAAACTGGCACTGAGAATCGCGGGGCTGTGCATTCTCCTGGTCGTCGTCTGGCTCACCTTTTTCGTCGACAGGTGAGCTGGCAAGATCCGGGATTGGCGGCAAGTGCGCTCGTTCGAGGCGCTGGCGGAGCAGAGGCAGAGAGCTCGCGGGAGTGTATGAAGTTGAATGTTAGAAGACTATCGAGTTAATCGAACGGTAAATCACTCGATATACCCGATCTGTCTTTAAGCGGATGCTAGATCCGTCTTGGATTGATTTTCCGGCGAGAAGACTAGAAGGAGGCAGACGATAGAGTTGGTGTCGTGCGAGTGAGCTCGCTACGGGTCAATGCGCAGCTCCGCCATAGCAATCATTTCTCTGCATTCTAGCAAACAATGATTCCTCCTTTGTTTGCTCCCTGAACGAGCTTCTGGAGCGTCCTTACGAAGCTCTCTATATATAGGGGACATCATTCCCAATAACTTAGATAGATCACGGCAATCAGACAATCACTCTTGTATGCATCATTTACGGGATCTCATCACAGTTGGAAAATGAACTGTGCTTGACAAGCAGCCTATTTGCATTTGCACGTACCGCCCAAGGAAAAAAAAGTGGTCTTATGCACAGTACTCGTCACGTTCAGCCGACCGAGGAAATCAAGACTCATTTAGCACTCACGAGCATAAAAAAAGAATCCAAAAGTCGAGACTCAGAGACGCGCAAAAGAAAAAGTGGCTGACGTGCTCCTGTGAACAGGAACGCATCGGGAATTGAGCCCAATGCGGGGGTCGAACCCGCAGCCTTGAGATTAAGAGTCTCACGCTCTACCGATTGAGCTAACCGGGCGGGTGTTAATTAAAAGACTAGAAGCTTATCATACTACATATTGATGTGTTTTTTTGTTGCTGTTGCCCTGTTTCTTGTCTCCTGTCTAGTTCGGGGAGGTCCTTCTCGTGAATAGCGGAATGCTAGTGGTAACCACAAAGCCGTGCCAACCGTGAAGATACTGCATAAGGGTAACCCTTTGGTTTGCTCACTAAACAGCTAGCACACTTAGTTCAGTGATCGCCGCCTAGTGTCATTGTTGGGGTAGCCAAGAGGTCCTAAGAGACGCCTCCCAAGTGCCAAAGCTCAAGCGGCCATCTTTTAGTGTATTATTTCCCTGTTGGAGCTCGAATGGCTTGACAAGCACTGACTCGCAGGTGATAGTTCTGCAGTGGTCCCCTCCAAAGGTGCCCTGAGAGACTCCAGCGTGACGATCACTACTCCGCTGGACGACGTGCGTGACCCAGGCGCCTGGTTCTAACCCCGATTCCACTTGGCGTAAGCATTTTGATGCAACCAAATTTGAAGCTGAATGCCGCTCCCCAGCCTAGAATAGACTAAGGGAGTCCCCCCTGCGGACCCGACTGACATGACAGGTCGGAAGTCGCGCTGCCGGAGGATCGACGGGTGTTCGGATCATCTTCCCCAACTTCAGGGGGCTCCTTCAATATTGCATCACAAGCTGACGCTGTCATGGCACGAGTAATGTGGTGCATTTCCTACTATCCTAGCCCCTGGAGGAGATCAATTTGACCGTAGGGATGGGCATTCCCCCTGGTAGATCTCCAGGTCGTACAAGATTGTGTCTTAGACATAAGATGGATATCCCGTCATTCTACTGGCATATCCAAACTTGTTCCTTACTCTTTGCCTACTTTTCTTTCTGTTTCCAGATAGAGTTTCGCGCCTAAAACGTCCCAGCGCAATCCAGGCAGCACGGCAAGGTCTCTCGCATCCGTAGCTCGAATTTGCTCTCGGCAGTTCGACACACTGACCTCATCATCCACCAAACGCCACAGTCAGGCCTTAGATCTTGCATAGTCGCTATTCTGGTGGCCAATGCAAGCGAACTTGACGACAACCTTTCGCAATCACGAGCTCCAAAAGACAGGGCTGAGCTAGGCTACCATGATTGAATCCAAACAGGGCATCTCATGGGGCGTCCTCTTCGCCACACTGGTGCCGGCAACAGTGTGCTTCGCCATGCGCATGCAGAGCCGGCACCTGACAAAGGTCCATTTGTGGTGGGACGACTACATGGCGATAGCCGGATACGTAAGTCGAGGGCATTCTACCATGACAAGATACTTGGCGCGGCTCTGACGCGGGCAATTCTGCATAGTTTTGCTCAATCGCATGGCTTGTCATGGTCCCAATATGTAAGCTTCCCACACTCAATAGCACTCCTCCTATGTAAAGCCCAGATGCTGACGAGAAGAATCCGTGTAACAAAGGGATTCAATATGGCCTGGGTATGCACATCCAAGACGTCAAGGGCTATACGATCGACGAGCTGCTCTTCGCCAATAAGCTCATACTCTACATTGCCGAGTTCTTCTATGCCTTTTCCTTGTACTTTGCCAAGACGTCCATTCTATGCTTCTACTGGCGCGTGTTCGGCGTGTCGGCGAGTATGAAGCTTGCCATCAAGATCCTGCTTGGCTGCGCGCTGATATGGATCATCATACGGGTGAGTTGCGGTGATGGTGGTGTGTTGCTGGTATTACCCTTACGTGTTCTAACATCCATCCGAAGACATTCCTCGGCATTTTCCACTGTATCCCCGTCCAGGCCTACTGGGACTCCTCCGCCGGCGGTTTCTGCGCCGTCGAGGACACAAAATTCTTCTTTGGCAGCATCCTCGTCCACGTCGTCATGGACATTGCCATCATTCTGCTGCCCGTCCTCCCCATCAAGCACCTGTCCCTGCCCACCAGGCAGAGAATCGCCATCGCGGTCGTCTTCATGTTCGGCTTCTTGTAAGTGCTTTTCTCCTGATATCCATACCCAATTGAGTGTGCTGGAATCGACTGCTGACTCTAGTGGGCGTAACCAGCATTTGCTTCGCCGGCGTCATGATCATCATCGAGTCGACCAGATTCGACGCTGGCTCGATCGACCTCACGTGGAACATTGAGCCTATCGTCACATGGGCGACTGTCGAGGTCAACATGGTCGTCGTCTCAAGTAGGCAATACACAGGAAACCCCGAATTATCTATCAACCACTGAACCCTCATTTACTGACCACCCCTCATTAAAACAGCATCCCTCCCGGCCCTCCGCCCGAGCCTGCTCTGGATCGTCGGCCGCTCTTCACACAGCAACAACTCCTCAGGTCCCGGCCTTTCCGGCAGCCACAACGGTGGCAGGAAGCACTCTCGCGCACGCTGCTGCCCGCAGGACAGCCGCGGCATCATGCTCTCCTCCAAAGGTGTCGGCAGCAGCCCCTTCCAGGGCCACCACCACCACGAAGAGTGTAACACCAACAAATCATACAACAAGATGAGGAGCAAGCACCGCAACAGCGACCACGTCGGGGACGACGACTCGACGTACGAGCTCGCGGATAGCGTGCGTGGTGGCGGTGACGACAGCAGCGCCGATTTTGACAACCACGCGCTAGACAGCCGCGACGCTGGGTTCCGAACGGTCATCAATGCCGGCGGTGGTGGTGGTAGCGGCGGCGACGGTGAGCAGCGTCATGACGCCGCGGCTGGTCCTGTGGTGATGTTTCGCAGGGGCAGCGAAGCACGGCTGCGTCCGCTGGTGGGCGTGGCTGATGGGATCGTGGTGCAGAGCGAGACTTCTGTGATGATTGAGGAGCGGAGGAAGAATTAGGACGCCAGTGATACATACTGTGCTTATGGATGAAGACTACTACGACTTAGGCTTGTGAATATAATTGCTTTTAGATGCGATATCCTGGGCTGTTCGCTGAATTAAACCTGAGTGGCGAGGAGACTGTGTCGAACCTGACCGACTCAGAAGCATGCCAAGGTCGGATTCACTCGTCCCTAAGCACCGCGCTGGGCATGCCAGAGAGAGCCTCGTGAGCTGGTGACGCGCTGCATAACTTCTTGCCAGCCCCGTTAGCCAAACACCCTACAGGTAGTACCCTCTTACTATGAGGTGTGTCTTTGTTGTGAGTCCTTCAGCCTTGATGAGCGAACCAGTTACGGTACGTATTTCTCCATTATCGTTCGCGAGAATGGAAGTACCGAGGTACGCACAATGGCTCTTGCCTGTGAGGCGGGGATATCTTCTAAACCATATATAAGAAACCAACTCCCTGAAGTCAACGAAGACTCCTAGCATGATTATAAAGGAAAGCAACTCCATCGTGTCCCGAACCATACCCCTTACATGTCCGCTACTCCTCACCCAGCCTCAGCCTCCCCGGCCCCTTCATCCTGCCTAATCTTCCACAGCTCTGCCGCCGCCGCCGCCGCCACCATCTTCCTCCCGTCCCTCACCCTGACCCTTTGCACGACGGCAAACGCAATAGCCAGGCCCGCTGCGATGGCCACGGCCGCGTACGCAGCTGGCAGCCCCAACCCGCGCTCCCTCCAGCCGGGGTTTGGCTGCGAGCCCTGGCCAAACTCGGCGATCGGCTCGATGCCGCGCTCGCGCAGGCAACCTATCCACCCGCCGCGGCCGCCGCGCACGCCGAGCGGTGCATCGTCGTCGTAAGGGCACCACAGAATGCAGGGGGCCAGGAAATTGACGGCAAAGGGCAGGCAGCACTCTGCGATAATGGCGTTGTCCGGTTCGTCGCCCGCGATGCCGGTATAGGACTCGTCGGTGACGATGCCGCCGTCTGTGTTGCTGCCGTGGAACGAGGGCTGGACCCAGGCGCCGCCTAGGACGCAAAGGGGTGACGCTGCTGGCGCCGCCTCGGTGCTCCCGGGGATTATGTCCGGCTTAGTGGTGTTGTCGGCTGCATGGGGCGTGGTTCTTTCTGTGCGGCTATTGATGTGAGGTGATTGCTCGGGCGCTATGCCAGCAGGATCTGAAAAGTTCACAGCTTCGCCGTGGGCTGTGTGGCCCCTGGCGCGCCGAGATGACAGGGCCATAAAGTAGAGCACAGCAGAGTCCGCCTCTTTAAATATCGAGAGCGGAAAGCTACATTGCCGGGCGTGCTTTGACCGTGTCGTTGTCGCCGTTGTCGTCGTTGTCGATGGTGGTTGTAAGACGGAGAAGCGCAGTCCGCCCGGTGCTCCGATGCTCTGGACGAAGCAGCCAGGGGTAGTTCCCGGGCAGCATCCTCGCCAAGCTGCCGGGGTTAGTCCGTGATACAGGGCTGAATCTGCCACACCGGCGAAGTTTCAGCACATGCCTCGTTAGGAGATCAGAGCAGACTAACCCGAGATCGACCTAGAATAGCAGCGTGCCCTATTAAACCGTGTTCAAATATGTAGAATGAAATGGGAAAATACCGAACGATCACCAGATAGAAAACTGTCCACCAACCTGTCAAATGAAGCACGCAGGGGTAGTTTGTGATAACAGATCCATCCATCACAAACGGTGCTGCTTAACGACCACCTTGACAGTCCCCAACAATCCACGAACCGCTAAATCCCGCCAATCGTGCCGTTCCTTGCAAGTTCAAGTTCATATATTCTTTATCAGCTGAGAATCAGACTCGGCCTAAGATTAGATTCAATGTGGTAGTAATGTGGTCAAGATCGGTGTCGTACATCTGTAACATTGCGCCACCACGTGTCATGATACTGAACAGTCACAGACTCAACTATCAAGCAAATAAAGATAAGCAATTAAAATTCAACGCCGCCTATGTTTCGATGCACCTAGAAGACAAGAGAACGTCCAGTTTTTGATCCAGAATATTCCAAGCATCCCAGGATGACTTCACGATCTTCTAGATGGTGCCCACGTTTTTGAACTGATCCCAGTTCAACCATGCCATGGTCGAGAAAAAGACACCGAGCAGCACCGCCGTCACGATGCCAGCCCCTGCCCGGTCTCCCGTCGTGATCGGCCTGTAGTTCTGGTCAA